GCAATGCCTCTCCCAAACACCAGTACTATATTGACGGGACGAGGTTAGAAACTGTGGAAAGACACAGAGATCTGGGTGTATGGACGACCACAAATCTATCGCCATCAGAACACTGTAGAAAGATGGTCCAGAAGGCAACTAGTACTCTACACTGGATCAGACGTGCATTTAAAATATTTCCTCCCGAACTTTTCGAAAGACTCTTTGGTGTCTTTGTAAGACCTCATCTAAAGTATGGAGTGCCAGCAGCTTCACCATGGATGAGGAAGGATATCAACTTACTCGAACATGTGCAACGCAGAGCGACAAAGATGGTCGACGGTCTAAAGCATTTGTCTTATCCGGAGAGGCTGAATTTCCTTGGCCTATTCCCTCTCTCGTATAGACAAATAAACTGCAGTCTACTCTGGACGTTCCGGATTGTTCGCGGCCAGGGTTGCTCATTAAGAGCAGAGGACGTCTTTGAGTTCGCCCGTACAAACCAACTACGCGGCCATGCATACAAAGTCGGGAATGAGCGCACGTGTTTAGACCGACGAAAATTTTCATTCAGCCAGTGGGTTGTCAGACCGTGGAACTCGCTTCCAAGCTAGATGGTGACGGCTGACACAGTTTGCGTGTTTAAAAGAAAACTTGCTCGTCTAGTTTTCGAAAGAAATCGGCCTGTACAGCATGACTATGCACAGCCAGTTTTGTAAAATCTGTCATATACTATCTTCCGCACTAATTTACAGTGACCCTACGCACTACTTCATGATTACGATTGAACTGTGACCCAATCACATTTTAAATTCCTGCAATTTTATTTTATTTTTGAGTATGAATCTGCGAAAGCACTGTACATAAATAGGGTCATCAAGGGCTCTGCCTGTAACCCTTCAATGTATACGTATACATATAATATACAAGTACAGGCAGCTCAGTTTGGTAACGACTATAGGGTGGTGCAAGCGTGGCTATTCAAAACGGCTCAACCTGATTTACGTGACATGACGTGCCAGTCCGCCAGTTATTGCTCGCCTCGAGCGCGCCTGTGTGGCATGCTTGTGGCTGATAGCGACCATAAGGTGTCAATGGACTAATACGCCTGCTGCCGCTGCTCCGCTGTTGCTGCTTTAACGGATATAGTTCGCTATTGTCTGCGGTAGCGACCTCTTCTGCCTTTCAGAGTGTTCGGACGAATGTGCTCTGCAGGGGGACCTGGAAACCAGACCGATACGGCAGGAGGGAGTAGGAGGAGACCGGCTGGTGGTGGTGTCGGCGCAATACAGAAAGAATGCGGTTGGTTAGGTCTATGCGTCAGCTTTCCTAAAACATAGGGCACTGAATTGATGCCGTTACTGTTCCTGAACGGGACCGCTTTGTCCCAACTTCCCCTTCCCCCACCTTCCGTTAACCCCGAGTACAGTCATGAGCGTGCCTAACTTCGTTGTCGTTACGCATAATCATCCCCCCTTTGGTGCAGCGTTTTCACTGTTGCAATTACCAGGCCCCTATGTGATGGTTTTGTGCACCTACATATCCCCCTCACGTCTCATTTCCTCGACGTGGGTCTGTGTGTCTGCGCGCTCTTTGTACGGTATTTGTCGTTATACGGGTGTGGTGGTAGGCTTAGGGGTGGCCAACCACCTGCGCCCTCTGCCACATTCGGTCTTTTTGACTATGTCTTGATATCGGGCCCAGGTGGAGAGGAGAGAATGCGGCAAATGTTGCGCAAGTCTAGTATCACTATAAAATTATTCACACGCAAGTCATCGCCCCTGTTCTCACCCGGCAGTGGAGCACGCGGTGGACATCGTCGAAATCAACGGTCAAACTGTCATATGATTAGAAGAACTTAGATATGACTGAGAAAAACACTTTCCTACCAAAACTTCCGAACATTCTCAGTATTACAATGACTAGATTTGTTCACTGGGCCGAGGACGGGGGCAGTAGTATTCCAGGATGGGACGGACAATCACACGATAAAGTTTCAACTTAATTTCAGCGGCATATTTGTGGGAGATTAAGGCTCATGTTTGGGCAGATTTGGCCATCATTCTATCAGAATGGTGAGAAATATGGGTTATTGGTACAACTTAGGCCTAATTACATGACAATAAGGCATTTAATCACGGGGGGTGTGCTGAAATAGCACGGACTAGGATAGTCCATCAAGGTTAAAACACTTGAAACAACACTTGCGGGCAGATAATCGTGTTAGCCATTCTGGGCTTCATTCAGAAAGAGAAGGCATGTCTGAGTTAATTTATTCCAGGCCATTGAGGCCGTAGCTTCAGAGCAGGCCTTTAGCTTTTGAGATCACCAGCACACACGGAACACTGAGCATGTCTAACTGTCCAATGCAACGTGAACAGTGTGAAGTAAGTCGTAACGCGGTAACCTGAGGAACACCGCTGAAAACCGGGTTCGCATTTGGAAACAAAGACCCCACTAATACCTAATGTTTCCACTTCTCCAGGCGTGACTTAGAGAGAAGACCTGCGAGTTAACGGGCTCCATTCAAATAGAACAGACTAGCTTTATTTCAAAAAAGTCTTGGGTTTTGTCAGTCTGCCTTGAACCCGAGGAACAAGTTGAAAATAAACTGCACATCAGATACACTTCAAGTCTACTAGATTTAAGGCGCTACTCTGTCAAATATCTTAATAAGGTGTTTGCTTTGAAGAGAAGCAAAGATGTTCAGAAACGACAAGTGACGAGCAGACACTGCAGAACCAACTAGCAGTAGGCGAATTATGTGCAACAAGTAAGGCGAGAATGTTGTACGTGGCTAGCGACTAAGATCAGCAGGCCGTAAATATAGAAACTGTATGTTATTATCCACAAAGACATGGGAGACTGGAATGGCCATTTCTGGCTTATTAGCCGTCGTCAACCAGTCATACCCAACCCCGAAGTATGGAACATCGGAGGCTCGAACTCGCGATCTGTTAGTTAGAAGTCCACGTCTCTAAGCACTGGGCCACGAACCCGTTGCCCTGTCGGTTTCTATCGGGAATATACAATGGTGGGGGATGCTCACCAATCGTTCTTACGTTTGGGGCCATGGCTCAATGGTTAGAAGCATAGGACTTCTAACTGGTCCCGAGTTCGAGCTTCGGGTGTTCCACACTTCGGGGTTGGGTATAACTGGCTGACGACGGCTAATAAGCCAGAAATGGCCATTCCAGTCCCCTTTGTCATTGTTGGTAATAGCATTCTGCCTATATCATGCACCGCTGTGCGGCTGGTGGTTGGGCTTGAGAGATATCCCGTAAGGCACAACGGAACGAGTGAGTCCCATAAGAACGATCAGCGAGCAACCCCTACCATAGGTAGAAACTATTCCGAATGGCGTACGGGGTCTTTATCAATTCGTATTTTGAATGTGAGATTTGTGTGTGAATTTATTGACTGAGAGGTCCACAAGCGTGCCTGTATCGAGTTGAAAACAGCGCACGCGGCTTGCGGTAGGGTCCGCAAAGCATTACTCGTCATTTTCAAAATTACTGGACTTTAAGTCCCTTCCTTGTCTTTCTTTATCTTATACCTGCGCTTACTCACCATAATCCTCACCGAAACCTCAGGATGACGAAAGAAAAGCTTAGGCCGTTCGGCCACCGCGAGAGACTGCGTTGCACGGTGAGGGTGGGGGAGCCTCCTACTGGCTAGTAACGATAAACTGATCGGAGACCGGTGTGATTTGATCATACAAAACGGACACCGCTTGGAAGCAGGCGCCGCCAAACAGTCGATGTTCTTCAGATCGCGCTTAGTAAAAAAACGGCCGCGACGCTCGCTCGCCTGAAATAATTAACCGAACGCGTTTCTAGCCTAGCGAAGGCTACCAAGTGCCGGGCTAACTCGGTCTTCCTCCGGACTTATAGGCAAGTCGAAATAGTTTCTTCCGAAGGTTACCCATGCGACAACTGTCGCTTACGTGAGACCCACGCTTAATGAAGCCTGACTCATGAGTGTAGGAACAGGCGCATGGGAGTCCAACTGTGTCGGCCGCTCCGAACACGCCCATCTTCAACCCCCTTGATCTCGTCTTGCAACTGAGGCAAAAGAAGTGCGCAAAGAGAGAAAATAAGGCAGATACCGTGGGACCGCCATCCACTATATTCCACCCCATACGCGAGTGGCTGTAGCCTGATTAACCTCAGAGATCAGCCGGAGTGACAACTTACACGAATTGGCTTGAATCGGTCCAAGAACTCGGTTCGATGAAGCTCAACCAGTCAATGTACGTCCCAAGAACACCTTCAAACAAGATACTTGACTAAACTTCATAAATACCGTGCATTCTCTACAACAGGCAGCAACAGGGTGGACTTCAGTGTTATTAGCGTAGTAACTGATGGTACGCATCCTATTTTCAGTGAGACCAACGAACAAGAGGAACGCTCAAAGGAAAAAGAAAGGAACTGGCACAAATCTAATTTACCTTCCTCCGACAATAAAATAAACATATGGAGCGAGTGAGGGAGAAGGATACATATTGCAAGGCGTTTCTTCTTGCTGACCAAGTAATATGCCAAAGTGGGCAAATGGTGCTTATACAGGTGGAACGGAGAAGGGCGAAAGAACAAGGTAATGTGATACAGTAACCTAAAAAATGTCTTCCTTCAACTCCCTCCTATATTTCTCTACTTGAGAATAGTCTTTAAAAATGAAGTAGAATTGTGGGAGCCGGCTGAAAGAGGAAGCAACATATGACGCCGCATGAGGACACTGAAGGATAACGGTACCCCCTCCACACACACACACCACCTCTTCGTGTGCTGAAATTGGAGCGACGAAGGCTTTGAGGAAGGTGAGGGGTGGTGGGACAGCGATGCGTTTCCTTTGTCATCCGGAGCTGTGTGAAAAAATAAGTATTCAAAATAAAGCGCAGAGCGCTCGAGAAGGCTTTTGGTGTACGATAAATGTTGACTCGCAATGTTTCACCGGTCACTGTGTGGTGTCGCCACTGCGACAGTGGGAAAAAGAGGTGTGTGTGTGTGTGTGTGTGACTAAAAGCTGGTGCGTCGATCTCCGTGAAGGAGACGATGCTGCATGACCATGGTCTTGATGCACTCCACGTACTGAGCTGGCAGCCAGTAAACGAAGAATCGCGACTTCTTAGTGGGGCCCAGTTGGAAGGCCATGATGTGGTACTCAGGGTGCTCCTTTATAGGCTGGCTGCGCACGTCATGGATGGTGGCCAGAGGAACCTTGTGCGTCACACTGTTGGTAGCCAACCAGAGTTCGCTGGTTTCAGGCTTGAACCGGAGACGCAGGCTCTGGCCGCGCTTGTCATACATGCCAGAGAGAGCCTCGTCTGGAGCCAAGAGGTCCTGCGAGTTCATAATGCCGACCATTACGTCGTCGGGCATTCCGAAGCGTTCTAGCACGCGTCGATGTTCACCATCGGAGGACAAATCTGAGTCAGAGTCCTCATTAACCGGTCCAGGGGAGGCCTCCGCTGGCTGTCCTTTCTGCTCCGCCTTTCGAACCTAGTATGCACGGATATATTGGATTGGCTTACTCAAATTACCCATTTTCGTAATTATATGCCAACTTAAAAGGATAGATTCACAAAGAAAGACTCAAGTCAAATCAGAGAAAAATAAACGAAAAAGGCTACCAGAAGAATGCAAGGTATTTGTGAGATTCGTCGCCAAAGGGGCAAGGGAATAGCCAGGTATAAGAGCGGAAGTTCCAAGTCTGCAATCAAACGGATCATACCTTGAGATTTGGAGCTGTGCATTTGCTTGCAATACACAATCGGTGCGCATTCTTGTGCAAATATAAACAGGCTAGGGTCTATGCAATGTCTAGAGACGGATCTTAATTCCGGTGGGCTGACAGCCACACAAAATGGCCAACTGTACGGAGGGCCTTTTCTACTTTGATCTCATCTGGATTCCATCCATCCACTTAAGTTTTATGACGACCCGGGCGACAGCTCTGGATGACGGCTGTCGTTGTAGTTAGACTGATAATCGTTCGTTGGGCCCCGACAACTGCAGCCAGAGGACGTCCTTCGATCATTCAAAACTTAATTAAACAGCAGGCCGTCAGACAGGGATTGCATGCCGATGCTTGGCGGAGGGAGGAGTACCCGCAGGCCCTGGATTCCAAGATGGACATCTCCATCCACCGCTCCTATACACTAACCTAAGGCTGTAGGGTTGCACCAGACGGTGGCCGACGGAGCCTTACTGGGGGCCGGCAGCATTTGCCATATGGTAATACTGTTATGGCCTGCAGTCATTTTATCGGCAAGCGATCTGGTACATCGGTGCTCAGCCGTGGCCTGAAGGTATTGCTGTTGCATGACACGTGACTGTTTAATTCGTCGTACTCACGAGCTTACTTACCCGACAGCTGACATGCGTCGATGGTCGTCCCGGTAACCACCACTAGTGGGCACGACTGGTAGCCACAACCAGGTCCATATGTATGTCCATTTTTCCCCGAGTTGCTGCCGCCGGGACAACAGCAAGGCTGAGTGGATTGTGTAGAAATAAGCGTTTTTCGTGTTTACTGTTCGCGGTCGAACGGCCAACGCCAAATACCAGAATAATAAAGGCCCACGAATAAACTGCGTAGATTTTCACGCATTGGAAACAGCACTAGATAGTTGGGGTTCACTGCAAACAAAGATGTCGCTGAAGTTAAACAGGGTGTTAGTCAAGGTTTGCTACTGTCTCCTACCGTTTGGCAGACTCAAAATTTGGACAGCGCAGAAGACCTGATAACCCGTGATACTGAATACCCAAATGATGTTACTCTTTTAGTATAGTATCCGTGGACTCAGCAAAATGACTGGAACCTAAGGTTAATGCCACAAAGAGAAAGATTTCGTTCCCGAATGTAGAGTCTGAGGCATAAATAAACGTCTCCGACGACAGCTCCACACCAAAGGGTTGGGAGAATCAAACGCTTCAAATCGGTGCCTCTCTCTCAAACATCCACTGGGCACAGTGCACATCCCAAACGTAACCCAAAGTGTCTTAACTCGGTCGGCATTATAGCCAAAACAAATAGCGTCAGCTGAGAAAACTGATACCCAGTCTTTCCTGCAGCCTTGGATATATGTTGCCTACAATACGTACAAATCCGCTGCAAACGGGTCCAGTGGGCACAATTAAAACACCCGGAAGGCAGCGTTTACTTGCAGGCAGTTCCAAAAGTGAAGTTTTGCTGCACTTTTTAGGAGCTCCTGGTGGGACCTGACGCCGATCACAGCAAAAAAAACCAGGGTGGCGCCGTCACCAACCCGGACAGCTAGTTTTCGGGAAGTAGGTAAAATAAGACCGTGTAGGAGTTATGCGCTATGTAGATTAACTCTCTAGCTCTGTCAGGGTCCACTTCCGTTACCAGACATTTGACCAGCTCGGAAAGTGGACAGGTGCCTAGAAGTGGGAAGAGGGAGTGAGGTCGACGTGTCCACAAATATTCCTCACTATAAACGATCTGACGCGCTTGAAGCTATCACGGTGCGCAAAAAAACCGTGGCTTGGAAAGTTGTTAACTGACGATATAACATGGGCCTTGCAGTCAACCCAGTGTGTGTTTGCATGGAGTGACAGACCGGTAAAAATGAGTCAGACTGCAATGGCTCCCTCTTAATGTGGCCTCTATGGCGCTCACACTTCGTGGGATGCGAGCCGGGTGTGGTAACACGCCTATGGGCGGCTCCGGCCGCGCCAGCTACCTGAGTCACCTTCCCTCTGCGGTATACTGACACCGGGAGAGGGAGAGAGAGAGTGCGGTAGATTAAACTAATTCACGCGCAAGTCACTGTCCCTACCCTGACTCCGCTGTGGAACACACGGTTGGCATCGTCGCAATCGAAAGTGGCAGTTGTCAAGCCTGATTACGTTTGTTCGCCCAATATTGTCTGCATTCCGTTCGAAAAACTGCAGCTAATTCGATATCGGCCATATGCGAGCAGCTGGGTGTGATGTTAGGGAAGGTTGTAACATGTAACTGAATTACAAGGCTAGGTTGAAAATATCATGCATTCCTGAAAAACGTCGCTGTAAGGCTCAAACACTGAAGACTGTCGTTGGGGTACTTTCAATAACGTCTGGGATTTCTGTTTAAGGTTTTAAATAGGCTGAGGATCTGCGGAGGTAGTGTCGCAAAGGAAGTACAGTGAGTCACCGATCTCCTGGAATGTTGGCTGAAATTCTGAAAGGCGTTTTCGATTAGGAAGGATTACTTATGTGGGGTCGTAGTACTGATTATCATGCGGCATAATCCCATATTATTTCGGACTCACTAGGATGTGGGCTTTCGAATGCACTTCTTTTTGACCTCCTGCAGAAAGCACACTTGGTAAAAAATGACTACTTAATTAGCATGAACTCAAATATATTTTAAAGAAAACATGCACAAAATATGATTTATTTTACTCGTTTGGTAGGAAATCACACTGTCCTCACACTTTATACCCTTTCGGTTTTAAAAAATTCTAATTATGAGATTTCTAAGATCGTGAGATGTCCATACATTGAGTATTGCACATGTCCGTTTACCAATGCACCTCATGAAGTACACGATATAGTCCGCGTTCATTGCAAAATTTCATGAACTCTGTATGGTATCTTCTTAAAGGTGTAGAGGAATAAGTGATTTTCCTTACGCGGAAAGCATACACTTCGTAGACTGAAGTCGCCAAACGCCAACGCTCGAAATTATTCGGTAATTTAGAAAATTTCCCAAAACCTAGATGCACTCTCTTCAGGTATAAACTGTGAGAACAATGTAATTTTATAACAAACGAGTAAAATAAATCGTATTTTTGTGTATGTTTTCTATAAAATATATTTGAATTCATAAGGCCATCGAAAATCAATGTGAAAAAGCATGCTAATTAAGTAGTCATTTTTTACCAAGTGTGCTTTCTGCAGGAGGTCAAAAAGATGTGCATTCGGAAGCCCACATCCTGGTGAGTCCGAAATAATATAGGATTATGCCGCATGATAATCAGTATTACAACCCCACCTAAGTAATCCTTCCTAATCGAAAACGCATTTCAGAATTTCAGTCAACATTTCATGAGATTGGTCACGCGCTCCAAGTCCGTAAAGCCCTCGAATAACAAACTAACAGGCCACTCTGAGATCAACGTTGTCAGTTGACAGTATGAATAACGACATTAAAGAGCTAGCTTCGTGTGACTTCTCTCCTAAACTTCCTGGTTTCCTGTATTACTTGGCACTGGGTGACCCACTGGACAGCTTGGAAAACTGCAGATGATGACAATGGTACTGTTAACGATGACTTGGACGGTCTCTTTCGACAGTAGTCGCTTGAGAATTAACTCTATGAGCTACCCACAGAGAGAGCCCTCACCAGTCTCATACAGTGAGTGACCTATCTCACGAAATGTTGACTGAAATTCGGAAATGCGTTTCCGATTAGGAAGGATTACTTGGACGCGGTTGTAATATTGATTATCTTGCGCCATAATCTGATAACATTTTGGACTCGGTAGAATGCCGGCTTTTGAATACACTGCTTTTCAATCTCTCGTAAAAGCCGTACTCGATAAAATAAGACTACTTAAGTAGCCTGCATTTTTCTCATTGACTTTTGATGGTCTTGCAAATTCAAATATATCTTGTAGAAACCATAAACAAAATGGGCTTTCTTTCAGTCAATTTATAGAGAATCATGTCTTCTTTATACGCATTATTCAATGAGGGAGTATAATTGGGTTTTAAAAAGTTTTCCAATTCCCGAATAATTTTGAACCAGATTTGCCATTGCATTGGCGTTTAGCGATTTCAGTTTACAAGGTGCATGTTCTCCACGTAAGGAAAATCATATATTCCTCTATTTCTTTAGGAAGATACCATAGAGTTTATAAAATTTTGCAATGGATCCAGACTATGTTGTACATTTCATGAGGAGCTGTCCTAAACGGCCAGGTACGGGGCTATGTGAATGGGCATTGCGCGGTCCGAAAAAATCTCATAATTAGAAACTTCTTTAAAACTTAATTATTCTCCTTCCTTGAATAAAAAATATGAAGAAAATGTGATTCTCCATTAATTGACTGCAAGAAAGCCTATTTTTGTTTATGGTTTCTATAAGGTATATTTGAATTTGCAAGACCATCGAAAGTCAATGAGAAAAATGTAGGCTACTTAAGTAGTCTTTTTTACCGGGTACGGTTTCTACGAGAGATTGAAAAGCAGTGCATTCAAAAGCCGACATCCTACCGAGTCCGAAATATTATAAGATAATGCCGCAAGATAATCAGTATTACAACCGCGACCAAGTAATCCTTCCTAATCGAAAACGCATTTCAGAATCTCAGCTAACATTTCATGGGATCGGTCACTCACTGTAAATGAGGCTACGGCTCACATTGTTGATCTATTTGTGCATAAATAATTTTTGAAGCTCGACCACCATGAAGTGTAGACTCTATAGTCCGTCATCTTCCGCTCCAACCGATGTCGAAATGTATTTCACAGGAGTTAACGGTGGTCCTAGAGCGCCGTACTTTGGAACCATGAAGAACAACCCTGTGTCGATTTTTACAGTATGGACGTTCAGGTGGATGGCAGGCGCGCCATATAAACTTTGTATTGTACTTTATGTGTAATGATAGGAGGGAGCACTGGTGTCATCCCCATTTATGAACTGAGACGGAAAGTTAAAATGAACGAGCAACATCCTGTGCGAGAGCAGAGGTGAAATTCGATGAAGGAAAAAAGTGTTTATGAAAAGAATGAGAAGGCGACGTAAAAAGGGCACTAACTTGCTCTGCGGCAGAACGTTCAGACCCAATCAACATTAATTTCGCGTCGCGAGGAGGCAGTTTCAGCTCGCTCAAACGCTTTGAATCGTCCAGTATACCATGAAAAACGAGCTTCTGCATGTCT